CGGGCATCCAGATAATATAGACAGGCACCCAGATGGATTCATAGCTACAAACACAGACGCTGGTAGGCACAAACACACAGGGCTTGAAGAAATCAATAGTTCTGTCACTCCAGTTCTCCTACTAGCAGAGTGCTGAATCGATTAGGAGTTTAATTAACACAGCTTCTGAAATCTCACTTTCTTTTTAATTCTTACATAGCTTTAAAAACAAGAACTAAGTATACACCTCCTGTGTGCATTGGGGTGGAGGGCTTGACAAAAATGTGAGTTGTGGGTCTGAGCAGGCCTCCCAGGGCCTTGTTCTCCTTTCCTACCTCTACCACAGCTTTGGGGTTGTGTTCGTTCTTTCCCTTCCAGGCCAGAGGTAAGGGGTATGAGTGTCTCCATTCAGAGGATGCCAGAGCTTTTCCTCGGGGAGCAGCCCCAACACACAGGTTTCCTTGGAGCCAGGTGGTGGTGCCAGGTGCCGTGATTTGGCTGTTTTCCAATCCTACCCATCCCTACCTCCCCTGCCCTGCCACCCTCCAGTATATTCTCAGAGCTCTCAATGCAAATGGCCAACCCCTAATCTGGCACTGAAGGCTTCTCACAATCAGGGCCTTGGTGTACCTTTCTGGCTTTCCTTATCATGGTTCCCTCTCTTCCAGAATGTACAACTCTAGAGCAGGGGACTTACTTATTGTCCCTTCGACTACCCCACCCTGGAATATGCTCTCACTGTCTTGACAAGTACAAACCCTACCCAGGGTATGACCACCTCCTCCAGGCACCTGCCCCTGATCTCCAGTGGAAAGGGGGAGTTCTCTTCTTGGAATTCCAAGCAGACCTTTACTCTAAGAAGAACACCAACTCAACTATGTTTAGTTATTTGTGCACTTGTGTCTTAGAAAATGTTCTTTTAGTTACAAGCAATAGAAATTAACTATTGGACTTGTCTGTCCACTCCCCAAGTGATCCTAGAGGTTCTCATTGAACAACTGAAGTTGCCATTGTTAACATGTCCCATGTATAATAATTCGTGTCTGTATGACCCTTGGTTCTACGTTCCACAATTTGGGGAAAGGAATTGGATTAGTGCAGCTTGGTTCAGAAGCCCACCCCTGGATCAAGCACCAATTGTTTCCAGGGGCATTTTAACACAGTCCAGACGTGGCCACAGATGGCCAGGGATCACCCCTGTGTTTGGGAGGAGGGGACTTTAGCAAAGAAGAGGGAAAAGCTGCAGCCTTGGTAGCCATCCCAAGAGGTAGCTAATGAAACTTGTCTTTATGATTGACAGAAGAGAGAGAAAAAGATGCTGGAAAGATAGTGTAACCGATATCCACTGCAAAGTGCTTATGCAGTGAATGAGTCAGTGTGCAAGTGACTTGTTCATTTGTTGTCTCTTAAAAGCCCCTAGGTCATTTTGCCTCCCATTTCTATGTCTTTAGAACACAATAACACAGTTTTTCCATCTTTAATAACTCCTTTCCCATCGTGTCAATCTCAGGGCATTCTCTGGGTAGCTTGTGTGATGGAGGCATATGAAGTCTCTGCATAGGTACAGACTTATGGCAATAAATGCCTGACATTTGGCCACTCATCAATGGGCATACATTTTCTGAATAACTGATATATATCAGACACTGGCAATAAGCCAGGCACAAGAGACTGTTCCCCATGGGACTTGGGGAGTTCAGGCACACACACCAATTGCAGTAGAATGTTATTAGTGCCCTATTGAAGGATGCAGGGGCTCTGAGGAGGAACTGATGAGCTCTGGCTGTAGTTTTTTAGAGGAGGTAACGTAAGAGCCAGGTCTTGCAGGGTGAGTAGAAACTTGCCAGGTAGAGAAGAAGAAAGGAGGATTCTAATCTGAGGGAGAACTGCGTGTTCAAGGCTGTAGAGGATTGTGGAAGAGAGTGGTATGTTAGGGAAATAGGGAGGTTGAATGTATCTGAGGTGTAGAGTGTGTTTGTGGCAGGGGCGCTAGGAGTTGGGGAAGATGGACAAGGGAGATGTGTGGGAAGGGAGACTGTGGCGATATCATGGAAGCTTTCTCATTTTAGCCTCAGGAGTTTTGACTTATCCAGGGAATGGTGGTCTGGTAGGGCTCAACTGAAGGATTTAAGCAGCGGAGAAACATATTTCAATATCTATGTAGAAAGTCCAAATACATTCTTGGGGGAATGTGAAGCATTGGGGCTTTTGAAAGTCAACATGTCAACATCTATTGAATTACAATTCTATTCCTGGGGATCTATGCCCTAGAATTAAGGTTCTGATGTGTCAGAACATATGCATGAGGGTATGAATGTTGCATTGTTTATAAAGGTCAGGAGCTGAACAAAAAGTGAATGCCCAGCAATGGGAAAATGGCTTAATAAGTTGTGGAATATACACAATATGGAATAGTGCTCAGACATTGGAAAGAGTGTTTTAGGATTCTGCTGGATGACTTGAAAGATTTCAAAGTTAAGTAAGAAAATAAAAATGCAGCAGGATGTGTATATATTATGGTCATATTTACAAAACAAGCAGTAGGTCAGAAAACCTTATAAATGTATATATACTTAGATAAAAGTCTGTGTAAGAATGCATGAGTGTGAAGAAAAATATAAAATGATTCTTACTAGGTTAAAGTTAGTTGGCTGAGGTTGGCAGGGGTGGGCAAATATAAGGGGATGATAATAAGATGCAGAAGATTAGAAGTTGTCTGCAATCAAAGAGTGTATGAGATGTGATTCTATTTAATGTAAAATGAAATATGTTCTCATAAGGATATATTGGCAGTAGGGTGCTGTGATTTTGGATTTAATGGATTTCTCTTCTCTGTGTGTGTGTCTGTATACATAGTATACATAAACATATACGTATGTGTTTACATACATATGCATATGTATGTGTTCACATACATATGCATATATATGTATACTTTCAAATTCTCTGCAAAATGTAATAGCTATTTCCATGAAGGGAGGCAGAGGCAGAAAAATCATTGGTTATTTTTTAAACACGATTTAAAAAGCATTTCCTAAAAGAATCATATGTTCAATTTCACAATTAAACATAAGACTTGTGGTTAAAAATTACATGTAAAAGCCTGTAGTCAAATAGTTGCATATTTCAGAAAGTCCTCCTCCTTCTCATTAAATAACTGTAAACATGAAGACATGATTTTTTAACCTTGATAACAGGAGTCTGCCTTATAATTTCAGCCCTACTTGATACCTTTGCTTCACCAGGCTGGCCTCATTGGTGCCCTTTATTTGCTATACTGACTCAGAATAAAAGCCAGGTCCCCATCTTGTCCAACACAGCCCTATAGGATCTACTCCCCTAATCCCCACCTCATTGCTCTCAACTCATCTTTTACCCCAGTGGACTCTTCCCATGCTACTCTGGCCTCCTTGCTATTCCTCACACATCTCAGGACACTTCTGCCTCCAGAGCCTTTGCACTTACTGATCTCTCTCCTTGGAACAATTTGCCCTCAGATATCCACATGGCATCCTTCCTCGTGTGCTTCAAGTCTTTGCTCAAGTGTCTCTTTTTCAATGAGCCTCCTCTGATCCTCTTATTTTAAATTGCGAGGTCTACTCCCCCATCCACCCTTAACACTCTCTAGCCTTCTTTCATGTTCTCTTTTCCTTCCTAGCACTTGCTACTTGCAACATACATTGCTCATTTATTTTGAAAATTGACTGTTCTCTCACTTGAATGTAACATTCGCTAGAGAAGTGATTATTTGTTTGCTGCTACAGTCTAGGTCTTAGAACAATACTTGACATGTTGTAGGTACTGATATTTTTAGATGAGTGAATGAGCTGGTGACAGGTGAAGAATGTTTGAGGCAGGTAAGATCAGCGGCAGAAAGACTAATCAGAATACTGTGTCAAGCCAAAGACAAAAGAACTTGCGCTCAGCCTTAGTCATTAGCTATGCATGTCTTCTGTTGTGAAATGATGGTGAAATTTGTTATTGTCTTTTTAGTTTAGTTTTGTTTTTAAGCTTTACTTTTAATTGACACATAACAATTATCTTTTAACTTCTCGTAAGTTTATCTTGATTCTTTAGGCAGATCAAAAGCTTTTTGAGAGTGGAGGCTTGATATCTTCGTATCTGCTTTTCCCACAGTGCCTGGCACTTATATGAAATATAAGGGACCCAACAAATGTACGATGCTTTATCAATGATCTGATTTACTGACTTTTACTTGACTCAGTGAATTTTAGACTGCATTTTATTTGATTAAGATCTTAGAAACTAATCTACGTTCTCATGCTGTTATACTAAATAAAGTTGATTTTATTCCATTACAAAAGTAATATATATGCTCACTATAGAAAATTTGGAAACTAGAGAAAAGTTAAAAAGATGAAAAAGACTTTAGTTATATTACCCATTAAGAGCCTTTAGCATTGTAATGTGTTTCCTTTAAATATTTTTCCTAGATGGAGCATTCTAACGTTATTATAATAATTGTGTGTTTACATTTCCATTTTTGCATACTGCATTCCCCACTTTATTAGCACACACATTTTTCTTAGCTATAAACTTTTGGAAAGCATCATTTTAAACAAATTCATACTACATAATCATAGCTATACTATAGCTCACTTAGCATAACCGTTATTTGATATTTAGGCTATTGCCATTAACTTTTTTTTGAGAGATGGGATCTTGCTATATTGCCCAGGCTGGTCTTGAACTCCTGGCCTCAAGCAATACTCCTGCCTCACCCTTCCATTTCCCTCTTATTGTAAAGATCATTGGCTACTCTGTCAGACATAATTGCCTGTTGCTTATTAGTCTGGTCATCTGCCCTTAAAACTTTGTGCTTCAGACTTATCTGTAAGATGAAGAGAATGAGAAAGGACTGAGAATATCAAGATGCATGAATAGGAGAAACACTGCTAAGCATTTAATAGGTGCTTAGTAAATATCAGATGGCCTAGAATTGAGACCTTTGGAAATCATGGGGTGTTGATAATTATCGTGGTGCTCTTTCCTGGTTGCAGACTGCACCTCATGCAGGTGGACTCAGTCCAGCGCTGGATGGAAGATCTGAAGCTCATGACCGAGTGCGAGTGCATGTGTGTCCTGCAGGCGAAGCCCATCAGCCTGGAAGAGGATGCACAGGGTGACCTTATCCTGGCAGGTGGCCCTGGCCCTGGAGACCCCCTGCAGCTGCTGCTTAAACGGGGTTGGGTCATCAGCACAGAGCTGCGCAGGATCGGGCAGAAGCTGGCCCAGGACCGCTGGGCACGGGTGCATAGCATGAGCGTGCGTCTGACCTGCCATGCCCGCTCCATGGTCAGCGAGTACAGTGCTGTCAGCAGGAACTCCTCGAAGGAAATGGGCCAGGTCAGCTGCCCTGGGATAGGAGTGGGCGGGAACTGGAAGTCAGGATGCTTTAGAGAAGAGTGGGTTTGAATCATATGTTGTCTGAACCTTTTTTGCTCCAGAGGCCTTTCTCCCCTTCCAGTAAAGGAGGAAAGAAAGAGAGTAGAACCTTTACTGAGTGCCTACTATGTGGTGGACATTGTGCTAGGTGTTTTTTTAAACATGTATCTCATTTAACTTGCACAATCTGTGAGGTAGGTGCCACTACTTTGAGAAGCTGTGCAGTGGTTAAATTTATTGACTTTAATGCCAGATGGCTTGGGTTGAAATGTCAGCTCTGCTGTGTGGACCTCGGCAAGTTGCTTAACTTCTCTGTGTCCCAATTCCTTCATCCTAAAAGGTATAATAATATAATTTATTTTATAAAGTTGTTGTGAAGACTAGATTAATTGTTACATGCGAAACACTTAAAGCAATTGATTAAAAATGTTAGTATTACCTTTATTTTATAGAGGAAACAGGAATTCTAGGAGGCCAAATAATTTATTTAAAGTTACACAGTGAATGGTATAATAAGTAGGGTCCAATCTAAGCTTTTCTGATTCCACAGCCCATGACTTTGAATCTTCTTCTCAAAGCCCAAAGTGAACCATTAAAAATCTCCCTTGTTATTAATTCTCTCTTTCGTCATTCTCATTTCACCTTAGTGCTTTGCCCTTTGCCTCAAACTCTCTTCCTCAGCTTTGCAGGCATTAAAGCTTCTCTTCATTCTTCAAAGCCCAGCTTAAATGCCCATTCTTTCCTGAAGCTTCCCAGCTTCCTCAGCATAAATAATTGCTCAGTTTCATATTCTTATAACTCTCGAAGCAGCCTACCCTGATCTCTTTTGCCACCTGTATCACACTGTGTTATAATGTGACTGTTCCCCAAGTCACATTACTTGATTCTTCATTTTTAATGCCCCTGAGTGCTCAGCATAGCAGTTGGTCCTCAGTTAATGCTTACTGAGTTGAATAAAATGGACTTATTTTTCTACAGATTGAGAAACTGCTAATGGAGAAATGCTCAGAGCTCTCGGCAGTCACAGAGAGGTAAATTTGGACCCTGGATCTCCCAGGGTCTGCCCGCCCGACCTCTGGCGGGAGAAGGGGCTGGTAGCTTCTCCCAGAGGGAGAACAGGAATGGGAGGCCTGGTGGTGGTTTCAGAGTTTTCTTTTTCTGACTTTTGTCAGAAATCTTAAAATATTCTCTTGAAATTTTCTGCCCCATATTCAGGCCCTAGGGATAGGGTAAAAGGCAGAGGAGAGGCCTGGGCATAGAAAGAAAGAGGATTTTCTAGGAGTTGGTAACAAGGAAAAGGTTTTCCACGGCTTTGGGAAGACCCACAGGTCCCCAAAGTCAAGGCAAGGTGAAAGCAGATACTCACACCCTTACACAGACATACACATAGACTTCAATGCCCACAGACACTCACTTTCTCATATACAGATATATAAACACATGCTTGGACCAGCACAGAAATACACTCACACCCTCTCCTCCATATTTCACACACATAAATATCCACATGTTTATACTCAGATATGTACACAAACTCAGCCTCACATGTATGCACACCCAGGTGTGTGTTGACATTTTTCTTCACCCTTCCCAGAGCCTGTATCCTGAAGATAAAACCTGAGCTCCCTGAGGTCTTTTGCTTTCCTGGGTGGAACACTGTCAGGCCACGGGGTAAATTTGAACCTGATCGCCCACTGTTTTTCTTGTCTGGGAAGAAAATTCTCAAGACTTTCTGCACACTCTAGGCAGCCATTTCTTAAAGGGCCACAGGCATTGCCATCCACCTTTACAGAGCTCACTAGCAATACCTGGCACTTGGCACCTCTCTTTGAAGCTTTTTGCCCCTCCATCTCCCACCCCCACATCACAGACAAGATGGACCCTGGCTGCAGTGATGGCAGATTCTGCAGGGAGAAGCCCAGAGGTATACATTTTCCACATTCTGATGGCCTTTCTTCCTGGTAATGTGGACTGGTAGTCCTCATCTCAGGCCAGCACATCTCTGCACACTAAGAGACCAGGCGGCGAGCCAGCTGTGGAATATTCTATCTCTGACTCCCAGTTGCCGATGTCTTCACGACACACCAGGCTTGGAGCAGGTCCAGCTCTGGACCCTGCAACATTTCTGGGCTGACCACATGCCCCTTCCATTGGCCCACTCCATGGTTTCTTCTCTTCAGGTGCCTTCAGGTTGAGAATGAGCATGTCCTGAAGTCAATGAAGGCCTGCGTGAGTGAGACCCTGAGCATGCTGGGCCAGCACTTTGGCCAGCTGCTGGAGCTGGCCCTGACACGGGAGGTTCAGGTCAGTGCAGGCTGGGCTGCGGGGAGGGGTGCTTGTGTGGACCCTTGGAGGAAAGGAGAGAAAGAGGGGCTGAGCCAGGCTTGGGGAAGATACTGATGTGGACTTTAGTGGGAAACATCCTACTCAAACCACCAAAGTCAACTCCAGTGTTTGTGAAACAAAACTATCAGAGCTAGGCTGAGGCTTCCCGAGCACCTAACCCAACTCTGCATTTTCCAGCTGTGAAAACTGGAGCCCAGAGTGGGGAGAAGCTTATTCAAGGTCACACAGCAAGATGGTGGCAGAGCCCAGCATCTCCCAATTACACTTTCAGTATTACTCCTACCACCCTCAATCTTCTCTGTTGAGTTAATGTTCACAGTGTACCCAATGGGTCCTTACTATCCTGAAAGCATTGAGGCACCTGCAGGGAATAAGCCAATTCTAGAAATCCTGACAACAAAGAAGAATCTAGAAAGATCATATAGTCTAACCCCTGCCTCTAGGCAGGCTTGTGCTTGATTCCAGAAAGAGGGAGGGATTTGGAGCCTGAAGCATCTACTTTCAAACTGTGGTTCACCGTGGAGCCTTGGTTAAGTTCCTGAACCTCTCTCAGCTTCTTTTTCCTCCTGTATAAATTGTTAAACCTTCTCCAGAAGAAAATTTTTAGAACTAAGCAAAGGCATATGGAAGGTGTTTAGCACATAGTGTGGGTTAAATACATGTTATTTCCCTCCCTTGCCCTTTGCTATTTTAAAAACCTCCCAGTAAAGCAGATTCCATAAGGTTTTCATTATGAAAGGTATTTATGGTTATTTATAGTTACAGAAATATTGTGTTACATATTTGCCATTCTTTTCCCACCACCAAATAAAAGCCTACCACAAATAACAAATCTCTTTCCATGTCGGCTCCTCTCCAAATTCAGCCTCTCTGCTGAGCCCAGGGTTTGCTTTCTCTCCTTCCTGAGTGTTTGGCTGGTTTGGCGCAGGCCCTTCTGGCTTGACTCACATGCTGGTCCTGCCTCATCCCCACTCCTCCCACAGGCCCCCATGTCAGGGCAGCTGGCCCTGAGTATCATCACCCCCCACCCCAACCACAGGAAGGTCCTCAAGGGCCACTCTCCATGTCTTGACAGGGACAAAGGGAAGGAAGGGCCACAGGCTGGGGTGCTGGGGCAGGCACCTGGAGCTGATGATCCAGTGCTGACAGTCACATGCAGGGGCAGGCAGTGATCAACCATCAAGTCCAGAAGGATGCAAGGGACACAGGGACCAAAATGGGCAAAAAGGTCGAGGGAGTGACGAGCAAGAAATATTGGAGTCAGTGGTGGGGAGGGAGACCTGGAGCAACTTCTGAGCAGGGGTACAGGTGCTGGCTGTTGCTTTTTATGCCATTTTTATGCCCACTTTCCTGGAAGTGCCAGGTTCAATTAAAAGAGCTGAAAAGGGCCGGGCGCAGTGGCTCACGCCTGTAATCCCAGCACTTTGGGAGGCTGAGGCGGGCGGATCACGAGGTCAGGAGTCAAGACCATCCTGGCTAACATGGTGAAGCCCCCTCTCTACTGAAAATACAAAAAACATTAGCCGGGCATGGTGGCGGGCACCTGTAGTCCCAGCTACTCAGGAGGCTGAGGCAGGAGAATTGTGTGAACCGGGGAGGCAGGGGAGGCAGAGCTTGTAGCGAGCCGAGATCATACCACTGTACTCCAGCCTGGGTGACAAAGGGAGACTCATCTCAAAAAAAAAAAACAACAAAACAAACAGACAAACAAACTAACAAAAAGGGCTGAAAAGGCGGTGTTAAGCTGAACTGTGAATGAAAGCCAGCTGGGTTTGGAACTAGTCATCAGTGTTTTCTACGAGGCAGCGAAGAGGCAGGATACCTTTGATGCTATAGGTCAGAAGAACCTGGGAAAAACTCCCTGGGCTTGCTTGGAGCCTACTTCCCTGGCCTTTGGGCTGTATAGTTGGATCCATTCTGCTATTCCTTCATTCTGACCATATTCAGGGTGAAATTCCTGATCTGGTGCTTCTACTTCCCCAGCTATCCCCTGCTCTAATGCCAGGTCTGACCACCTGGTTCATTGATGCCTGGCCTGGAAGCTGAGCAGACCAGCTCCTGCTTTGTTAGAATGGGTTCCTTATTGGTCTTCCACCCTGGTAGGAGTAGGGGAGTGGGGTGTGTGGCCACAGAGTGTTGTCCTCCATTCATCTGCATATTAGTTTTCTTTCTGATAACCCCCTTTCCTGGTGCTTTCCCCCTTCCCTGCCAGCGTGTCCCATGTCCCTCTTAAGGGCTGAGTCTACCATGCTCATAATATATTTTTGGCTGATCTTTGGCTTCTTTTTACATTAGAAAGTTTCCATACAGGACAGCAGTGACATCAGGAGATATATTGGCTGAAGACAGGGTAATTTGTGTTCAGTGTTGTAAGCATGTGTTTCTTAAACTAGTGACTCAAATATTGTTCCTTAGGATATTAGTAATTATACCAGGATCTTACATTTGTACTGTCTTGATGTAAATGAAATCAAATCTATCTCTTTACATCAAGATTTGTCTTATGATGTGCCATTCTGCTTTGCAAATCTTCCAGAAGGTCCTCATGCACTTATAGTATTTCTTGTCTGAACTGCAGCTTCCATAGGCAGGGATTTTGGTTTGTTTTGCTCATTCATATATCTCTAATTACTAGAACAGTATCTGTTATAGAATGTCAAGCAATATATTCCCAACTTTCAGGGTCAGAGATTTAAAAAATATTATTAAAGCATCTATTTACTTCTTCTGAGATGCGGGTGTTTTAGGAAATGCAATTCAGGAAACATTCTTTTAGCACTAAGAAGTCATGTGGGCTTAAGCAGAGGAACAAATCTCCCCATCCCCTTCACCCCAGACTTAAGGGCTCTTTGTACCCCTTCAATTATGGTTGGGAAAGACTGGTACAAATTGAGAAGTCCTGAAGGAACCTCCCACTGTTGTACAGACAGCCTGGACGACAGCTCCTGAAGGAAACCCAGCCCCCCACACACTGGAATGAGGCCCTCCTTGCTGAGATGAACAAAGTATGAAAATTGAAGCGATTGTATCAACCTAAGAATCTGGGACTTTTGATTATTCCTAGAGGAAAATAATTTAAGGTTTTTCTTTTACTTTATTTTTTCCCAGGGAACTTTAAAACTTTAAAATAGGAGCATATTAAAATTTTGGAAATATTTATGTTTGTCATCTGACAAGTATGTTTGGATTATCTTAGTATTGCCATTTAATCTCATTGCAACTTCTACTTACCTACATTGGGCAACATGGCTGAGCAAAATCTGCTCAGTGGGAGAGTGGGAAATATGATAGGAAGCAAATTTCAATCCTTTTGCTTTTGGAATAATCCAAAGTCCCAAATTCTTAGGTTAGTACAATCTCTTCAATTTTTACACTCTGTTCATCTCAGCCAGGAGGACCTCATTCCGGTGTGTGGGGAGTTGAGTTTCCTTCAGTAGCTGTAGTCCAGGCTGTGTCTTCAATAATGGGTGGGGTTCCTTCAGGACTTCTCAATTTGTACTAGTCTTTCCCAACCATAATTAAAAGGGTTCAAAAAGCCCTTAATACTGGATACATAATACTATCACAGCACTACACATATATTCTCAGAAAGTTAAAATAAGCCAATCCTCAATTTCTATAGAACTCCAAGAACTTCAGGCAACCTGCTGTCCCAGGATGCCATCCTTAGGGTTGCCAAAGGCCTTAACAGATACATGTTCATCTGTAGCCAATAAAAAAAAAAAAAGGATGGGTAACTGAGATGGTCTGGCTGGCAGCCTTGGTAGGATGTCAGTCAGTTTATTTCAGTTGTCTATAGTCTATAAAGATTTGTGAACATACACCCACTGGGGGAAAAAAGTCCACCACAGGTTAATTGTGGTACTATGTTTACCATATATGGGGAGAAAGAATGCCTCCTTTCTCATTGATGGGCATTTGAACCGTTTCTCTTTTCCTGCAAAGTCAGGCATTTGCAGCTTCTTTACTAGGACTTGCTTGATTTGCATTCTTTCCCATTCAGCATATTCAAAACATCTTAATTTCTAGCTCCCTGAAAACACTGTTTCTGCCACTCCAGCATGCATTGATTTGGGCTTCCTGAAGTGACAGACCAGTAGTCTTCAAACCATTTCAAATGCACCGCATCCCCCAGGTTCCCAAAGATTTCCCAGGAGAAATGCAAGCACATATAATTTTAAGGAAATCTTATTTCCAGATCTTCAATTTTCATTTGTTTTCTTCCTTAAAAATGATCTTCCCAATAATATACTGAGTTTTTTATAGGCTTTCTATTATTTTCCAAAAGGCATACTCTTCACCCATCCCAAATTTTACAGTACATTGCCTTGCCATGCAAAAATGTTGGTATGGGAGTGGAGAATCAAGCAAAGAAAAAGCCTTCATTCATGAACCATTAAGACCCTTAGGCTTCCATTAACTATTTCCATGCTTTATACATATTTATGTTGAATGTGCCATTAGAAATTGTGTATTTTGGCCGGGTGTGGTGACTCATGCCTGTAATCCCAGCATTTTGGGAGGCCTGAGGTCGGCAGTTCGAGACCAGCCTGACCAACATAAAGAAACCCTGTCTCTACTAAAAATATAAAAAAATTAGCCAGGCATAGTGGCATATGCTTGTAATCCCAGCTACTTGGGAGGCTGAGGCAGGAGAATTGGTTGAACTCGGGAGGCGGAGGTTGCCACAAGCTGAGATTGTGCCATTGCACTCCAGCCTGGGCAACAAGAGCAAAACACCGTCTCAAAAAAAAAAAAAAAAATTGTATATTTTTCCCAGTGTGAGCAGTTTCTCAATTCAGATATATTGTTTTGTGTGTGTGTGTGTGTGTGTGTGTGTGTGTGTGTATGTGTGTGGTTGGAGGGATGATTATAAAAGTTTTCAATTTATTTTATCCCTTCCATCTGTTTATTCTCAAATAGTGCATGGTTCTTGAGGGACATTCTCCTTAAACCAA